TTAGAGGGGTAGGATTGGTTTGCTGCCAAAATAATCAAAGTGTTATATAAACCATGCTAGGATGCCACCACATGGGTGCTACCATGGTTGCACCCATGTTTCGCACAGACAAACACAGACGATAATTGTCTGTGCAACACAGACAACTATCGTCTATGTTTGTCTGTGCAAAGCATGAGTGCATTCATGGTAGCACCCATGTAGTGGCACCCTAGCATTTTCCAATTTAATAATGCTAAATGAACTTCAATTTTGACCTCACATTTAACCCTATATTCTTAGGGACAATCAAAGATTTCGGCACTAAGATTCCGTTTGGAAACTAAGAAAGTGGCCTGTGGAAAATGATTTTTAGAAAATGAGTTATTTTTCAGTCATTTTCCTTTTCTATTGTTTGGCTAAAAATCTAAAATGATATATTTCTGTATAATTAATTTCCCTGAAAATGGATATTAGAAAATGAATGTCTAAAAAATTACTAAATAACATTAAACCTGAGCAAGGATATTTAGAGATTTTAACACACCCATCCCAAAATAATAATAGAAAAAACATGCATAAAATCATATACCACAAAATAAAGAGACATCTACTCCCTCCGTCCCATAAAGTGTTACCTATTTTGATTAAAATTGAAATTAAGAAAGGGATAATTTTGTGTTGACTTTCCAAAAATACCCTTGATGTGATGGGTAAAAGTAGGATGTGATATGTATATTATTAGGAAAAAAGTATGATGTGATAGGTAGGGTTTGAAAAAGTAAGGGGTAAAAGTGGTTTTCAAATAGAAATGAGTAAGAGATTGTGGGACACAATTTTTTTGAAACGTGTAAATCTTTTTGGGACGGAGGGAGTATAAAATAGTAAAAACATCCTTAAAAAACATCCAAAAACATCTTTAAAAAAACATGGGTTGCAAAGAACAAAGAAACCCGGATCTTGTTAGAATTTCAGTGGACCGAATGAATTGGCTGGAGTGTTGGGTGAGATTAACCACTTACCCATATATAAAGTCATGTCATATATAAAGTCATGGTCCTCTTTCTATCCAAAAGATTAAGCTAATGTGTAGATTTTTGCCTTTCTTTATATGAAAGTATAAGTTGAGAACACCCCAAGCTAATGAGTAGAGTTTTGCCTTTCCATTGTGGGATAAAACCAACACTCGCTTCTCAACACTCCCCTCAAGTGGTAACTAGCCTGGTCTAGTTACTATTTGGACGAATGATCGAGTCTAACATTTCAATCTCTTTATAGCTAGCCCACAGGGTGATGCCCCGATAAATCGAACTTGGCTCTGATATCATGTTGAAATTTTGGTGGCTCGAGTGAACTGTGTGGAGCATTGGGTGAGATTTATTCACTTACCTAATGGGTAGAGCTTCGCTTTTATTAATATTAGAGTATTATTTAATTAATTTTTCTGGTGTGGGATAAACCCAACACACGGTTCCCGACAATGGAGAAAGACCAAAGTAGAACTAAAATATTAAAGATATACCAAAATAGGACTTCCATGTTTTTATTTTCGAAATAGGACTTACATTACCAAACATGGTCATGTACATTATCAAAAATGTATTGTAGTGTGCACATGTACAATGCCACATTACCACAGTGCAAAGTACTATTTCGGGAAAAAAACATAAAAGTTCTATTTTGGTACTTTTATCTATGTTTTAGTCTTATTTAAGATGATTTCTTTCCTGACAAACCTTGATTCTAAAATCACAATTTGCTTTATCTTGAGAAATTAAGAAAAAATTACTCTGTAAAAAAATCCATTTACCCGTGAGAGTGCTTAATTGCGATGGAGGCTTGGAGCAACTCATGAAGATGAAGAGGAGGATAAAAAAGAGGGGTAGGAGGAGTACCTATATCATACATTCAGATATATAATGTTTTCCGTACGTCCGCGTGAATATTTATTTTCAAGTAACAGAATACTCATTTTTGAATAACTGAATATTTATTTTAGAGCATAACTCTATTAGAGAAAAATGAGAATTCAATTACTAAAAAATAAATATTATTTCGTTGATCAAAAATAAGTATTGAGTTAAAGAAATCTCCGTGGATAAGAGTAAAAAAATACTCTTCCCGTCTCAAAATTATACTTTTACGGTCTTCATTGCATTACTTTGACCATTAATATCTCTATTTATATACGGAGTATAATTTTGTATCATGGAAAATGAAATATTTAAACCTTATTTCAAAATAAATCTATTGATATTAAATTTACACTCCTTTTTTCCTATTTTAAATTGTCTGTTTGCCTTTTTTCACTGTCCCAAAATAAGTTGCCTATTATTTGTTATCGTAAACTTTTAAGAGTAAAATACCTAAACTACCCCTAAAATAAGTCACTATTCTTCACATTATCTTCTCATTCATCGTCACCCCTCCTAAAAAGTAATGACAATTTCGAAAAATCAGTTATATTTTTTCTCTTCCTTAAAATTGCCCAAAAGTCAAAACAGACGAAGAGAGTATCATAATTCAATACATATTTTGACCAAGAGAGTATCATAATTCAATACATATTTTTTCATATTTTATAGTCAAAGTTAGAAAATTTTGACCAAGAAAAAGCAAACAAGAAGATAATTCTGGGATAGAGGGAGTATGAAAATTACTAAAATGGGGGTCCTAATTTTTTTAAGATTAAAATAGAAGTATAATAGCAATGCGATATAAGAATACGCATTGACAATGTGATGCAAAAGTGATAACAATGTATTATGGCAGTATGATCAGTCAATCGGCGGCGGCACTCTCTAATAGTCTGCAAAGACAGGTGACATTGTATCAGTTATAATGTGACAATTTAGTGAATATAGTAGTGTAACAGTGATAGTATGAACTCATATGTTGATCTTAAAGGACTTAGGATTATTATTTTGGTCTTTTCATAGATTTTTATTCTTATTAAAGTTCTTCGATTCAGTTATTGTAAATGAGTACCTGCTGTGGATGTAAAAATGGGATAAAAGATATAATATTAAATTATATCTTTTATAATTTATATTATAATATTAATTAAAATAGGTTAAACGATAGTCAAGACTCGAGAATGTAGCATCACGTCCTGTCAAGAAACCAACTCAACCAAAAATTCAATCTTGTGGGCCAGGAAATGATTATTATACTCAAAGATGCTTCTTCACGTGCATGCGTAGTCTTCTTTTTGAGCATTGCACGTGAAATCTTAATTTTTTTAAAATTGAGTAGTGCTTAATTTCGAACATGTGACCTCTTAGTCAAGAATACTCCAAAACCATATTAAGGAATTAACTCAACCAAAAACTCAAACTTGTGGTCCAACCAATATTTCTCATATTCTAAGTCCAAATTTGATTTGTCACGCCAAAAATATTTCCAACGCTTTTACGCCACTGATAAGTGATAACTTGGCCGCAAATTCATTCTTACCTACAAAATTTCTATGAATAGAAAAAGGACAATTACGTAAAACCGAAAATGAATAACCTCTTGTCCAAAAGTCGACAAGATCATGGAGTCTCAATCTGACCATTCCAAAGCTTTTAAGTTTATGGAAAGTGGCTTGACAACAACTGCAAACAACTTTGGTTTCATAGCACATAATTCCTTGCAGTTTTGTTTTTTAAGTTAAATTTTAAAAACTTTGGGCATAAATTATTAAAAAATATATTTATTTGTAATATAAACTTAATATAATTATATTTATTTAATGCTCAATTTGTGTAACAATTCAATTTTTGTTATTGCACACCATGTGTTCTACAAAATGTCTCTGAGAACTATTTTTTATTTAAACCCCTTCCAGCCGCCGCTGAACCGAGACACCATGTGCTCTACTTGTGCCCCCACTCGTATTAGATTCTGACTTCCTATAAGATAGGAGTTCGATTCCTGGCAACTGACAAAGATAAGGAGTGCCAAGGGGTAGGACCAAGTTCGATGTCTGGCAGCTGCGCTAGGAGACAATTATGCTAAACATAGAACCTCTGCAAATACCAAGTGCAGACTTCACTCTTTACTACCAATCTGCGATCAAAATCTAATTTACCTCCTTTCAGTGACCGTCCAGTTGCGGGGGGCTCCCTCATCCTTTTTTTTGACGTCGTCACTGGGGGGCAAGGATTTAAAGGATGTGGTAGGAACCACTTTCGGACATAACAAGGTACTGTAAAACTCTCTAATACACCGCTATCATACCATGATATTGAGGTTCAATTTCAAGAATAGTCAATTAGAAGCACCCAATTACCCATATATCCAGTAACAATTTTTTAAGACATCATTTTATCAACAATAATTCAAATAATGGCCAATTACAATTATGAATTTAAAACAAAACATATGCATGAATGACAGAACTGTCGTTCTCATCTTCTTTCCCTTACAAAGGTGGTGCCTCCCACACATTTTACTATCTAAAACACTCTTTCTTTCCTTCTCCTCTAACTCAAGAAAACACACATATCTGGTAGCTAGTAATTACTAATCTTTTTTTCTCAATCTCATTTTTATGTGAATTGCATGAGAACAAAGGTGAGCACATATGAATGACTTGTCTAGCTAGCTACCATATTTAATTAATTAATTGCAACAATATATATATATATATATATATATATATATATATATATATATATATATATATATGTATGTATGTATGTATATATATTTATATTTGTGTTCAAATTAAAAGTGAGAAAATGATGATGATGTTGCAGAGAACATGTGGGTTGTTGTTGAAGATGAAGCAGATGCAGATTATGGGATTTTTGTGCATATTAATGTTGCTTCTTGTGTACATGACCACTATTTATTATCACTACCACCAAGAAGAGGTGTATAAATATATGCATGTTTATGTTATTATGCCTTTCATGTCTATGCAAATACTTCATCTGAATAATGTCTTCTTATTTTATTGCAATCAGGTGGAACCAAAATTTGGTCCACTTCACTTTGCAGAGGTATTTATCTCTGCTGGATTTACATATTTTAGGTTCATGTTATACTCTCCATCTCTGCTCTCACAGGTTTTTTTTCCCCATGAATTTTCCCAGGATTCTCGTGTGGCCCACATGGTTTTGCCACGCGGCATCGTTGAGGCTTCATCCGATCTCGAGCCAAGGGCCCTCACGGCAGAGCATATTTCAAAGTCCAAGGTCATATATACTCTATCATCTCAATCAAATGCCCAAAGTTGTGATTCTACTATAAAAGCATTTGTATATTTATTCTAACACGCCTCTCACATGCTTTATTTGCTCGAATCTTGCACGTGAACATTACTTCTTCGTTTTTTTAACATCAGGTGGTTGTAATATTCTAATTTGTGCCCTCTATGTTAACAAAGTTATCGACCAAAAAAACTCAAACTTGTTATTGCAGATTTATGAAAGGTTTTATAGTATCAAACAAAAAATGTTTCCTATAACAAGATTGTATTCGAGGATTCGGACCAAGGTTGTATTGAAATGGTACAGGTCAGTGTGGAGGGCAGTCGCAATTTGTTGGCAATGGCAGTTGGCATTGAGCAGAAGGGTAATGTTGATGAAATCATTCGAATGGTATGCACTCTTCAATTCTGTTTTTTGCTCTATAAGTATTTCAATGACTAACTTTTCTAGAACCAGTTCATTTCAGAGAATTTCACGATCGTTTTGTTCCATTATGATGGTAATGTGGATGCTTGGTGGGATCTAGGATGGAGTAAAGATGCCATTCATATAGTTGCTCACAGTCAAACAAAGTGGTAACAAGACACTTGTCAAGGATGCCAAAAAGCTTCTTTTTTTATGCAAATCTTTAAAACAAATCTTCATGGGAAGCTAATAAAGTGTTGGGGATTTCACTTAGTTAGTTACCCACTTCTTCTTCTTGTTCTTAAGGTTAATGGGTGCATTTTATTTCAGGTGGTTTGCAAAGCGTTTTCTGCATCCGGATGTCGTATCCATTTACGACTATATATTTCTATGGGATGAAGATTTGGGTGTGCAGAATTTTCGCCCTGCAAGGTCTCAGTTTACAGACACATAAATCAAATGCATGGTCATTAATCACTCTGCTAATTGTTTTTTAACACAAACCAGCTTCCAATAATTAATGCAGATACCTGGAAATTGTAAAAGTGGAAGGGCTGGAGATATCTCAGCCAGCTCTGGACCCTAATTCACCAGGCATACACCACAGGATAACAGTTAGAAGCAGAAGAAACCGGGTTCACAGGTTAGCCGGATGATGACCAAACACGACGTTTCGTTCACTTTAGAGTTTTTTCTCTTTTTTATTTTGTGCTTATCTTCAACCAAATCATGTTGGTTGATTATTCAAAACTGTTTTAAGCAGAAGGGTATATCAGGACAAAGGCAGAACAAAATGTTCTGAGGAAAGTGAAGGCCCTCCCTGCAGTGGGTAAGCTGTTGTCTCATAGTAGAATTCAAGACACTTGGGTTGAACTGAACCGCGCTAAAAACTGAATTTGAGCGATTATATAGTTCAATTCAAGACTTCATTACTGACTTGTTATTCTTTCTTTAATCTTACAGGTTTGTGGAAGGAATGGCTCCGGTGTTTTCGCGACGCGCATGGCGTTGCGTGTGGTATCTTATACAAGTTATTATTAACTTATACAGAAATGAAAAAATCCCTTTTAGATTATTGCAAAAAGACATAGTCTTTGAGATATTCATTCAATGTGTGGTTTGGCAGAATGACCTTGTTCTTGGATGGGGAATGGACATGAAGTTTGGTTATTGTGCTCAGGTAGTGTTGTTTTTTTTCACTGCAATTGTTAGAGTTATAGAACTAACACCGGTTAAATATGAACGAACGAACCCCTTTATAAGTATGGGGTGATCCTTTTGGGGGCAAGTTACGTCTAACGCATATTCTTTAACTCGGATTTGTAGGGGGACCGGACAAACAATGTCGGGGTAGTTGACAGTGAATACTTGGTGCACCTTAGCACTCAGTCTTTGGGCTCCGGCTCCTCCCCAAAAAAGATACTCCGTGTATGTATTTGCTGCCTGCAAATCTAGTGAATCAATTCAACTAAAAACTCAAGCTTGCAGTTGAAATATACATATTTTACTCTCCAACAAAAACTTTTAATGATTTCTTTGTGTGTGTGTGTGTGTGTGGGTATGTGCAGGCTTTGAGTCCTTCTCAAAAGGTGCCAAAGGTTTGTGCTTTTAATTTGCCCCATTTGCTTTGAAATTAATACATACATCACCCTTAATATTGAAGTTTAACTTGAAAGGAATGAATTCATGTAGGGTCGTGTGGCTAATCCGAGAGTTCAGGTACTCGTAACTCATTTTGCACCATTAAAAAATTGTCAAAAACGCTAAAATTAAATGTTGGTCTCAAACGAGGCCCGGCTATATATCCTTTCAATAATAATAACAATGATATATGTTTTCCATATATACTAGATGGAACATCTTCTTCAATTCTTAGTTCTTAATGTAATTAATACACATTAAAGTTGGGAAGAGATTATATTAAAGTTATATGTATGTGTAGTTAAGGAGGGAATCAACTTATGAGCTGCAAGTATTCATGGAGCGATGGGAAGAAGCTGTGAAGGAGGACAAGCAATGGGTGGATCCATACAAACAAACTTTACTGGTCTAATTAATTTAATTAGCCCCAAGCTCCTCATCTGCACATTCTTGATTTGAACATTATATTTGGTGCAATTAATTAATTAATCAACACTTATCACTATATACATATATTATTGATTTCTCCATCCATCACATCCAATTGTTTTAAAGAGATTAGTGTTAGCGTTTTGATAAAACTATCTACGAGCAGCGTTTAGCATTAGCGTTTTAAAAGTAATCTGCGCCGTTAAAATTTAATCTAAAACGCTAATGTTTATCTCCTAAACTATTTCGAAACAGAGTAGACGACAACGGGAAAACAGTGTCCATTAAAAATGGTGCCAAAATAATCAGATCTCATACAGAGTAATAACGACGCACTAATAAATAGTCATGATTAATTGATATAATCTTATTGTTTAAATCTCACAATCGAGAAAGCTTTTGGTAAATCAGCTTATTATTATTAATTAAGCACAAGAGGCAATACAGTTATTCTTGCAGTCGAAGGTGCATCCGCCGGCGGCGCCGCCGAAGCCATATCCCTTCCCGCTATTGGCAAAGGACTGGAAGCATTTGGCCGGGCACGTCAGCTGCTTCTGGAAGCAGGGGCCCTTGTCCTGGCACACCAACGGCTGATTCACCACCCCGGACTTCCCGTTCGGGCCGCCGAATCCGGACCCATAACCTCCGACAATCCCGGAAGGTAATCCGAAACTGTCCCCGGCGGGTCCCAAGTCCGGCAGCCCGAACCCCGGGGTGGCGGGTTCGGCTTCCGGCGGAGGCCGGGTGGCGGAGGTGGGGGTAAGGATTAGGACGAAAGCTAGGATGGGGAGAGTGATTAGTGTGAGTCCCATGTTGATTGATTGATTGTGAATGATTTAACTAAGTAGACAGTATTTATAAAGAGTTCAAATTTCATTTTTTTTCATGCCTCATTTATGACAAAATGTTGAAATTCATTTCCAAAGCGTGAGTGATCGATATGGTGGGGACTTGACTTTCAGTGAGAATGAGGCCGAGCTTTTCCCCGTCCGCAATAATGAGGCGGTGGGTTCTTTTCTTTGGTTTAATGAAGCTGAAAATTAAAACAGAGAACAGACCAGGGGTAGAATGGGGAGTTTATTTATGACCACGATGAAGATTTGTATTTTCCTTGAATAAGGTCCCCTTTGTTACACGGAATTCAAACTATGGAATTAAAATTGAGAACTTCAATTCTGATTATGGTGTTTGGAAGCACAAAAAGTAAGCGGATTTGGAATTGATAGTGCAAAAAATGAATTGGAATTGGTGAATTCAATTCTATATAAGTATTCTTAATCCTACATTAGGTAGGATTAGGTACAAATAGCTTTATCCAACAATGATAGAATAAATCGTTCGTGTTTTCTTTTTTTATTGACATTTATTATATTGTGATAAATTAATTAAATTAAGAAAAAATTGAAAGGAACAAACACATACATTTACATGAAATAATATTGAAAGATAAATAGAGGTACACTAGTCCGCACAAGCTAATTAATTAAGTAACAAATTAATATAATTAAATAACAGTAATAATAATAATAATAAATGGATATTGTTGCAAATTATGTATCCTCATCATTATTGGTTGGAGTCACCAAAAATGCGGTTGAGAGTGGCAGCCAGTCGAACGCCACCCTGAGCTATACGTTTCATCACGATTGGGAGCCTCGAGTTAAAGTAATCATCTGCATCCATTAATCCATACATATATACATACATATTTATCGTCAATGTATATTTATGTATTTCAAAATTTATCAATAATATTATGGGTTTTTTATACAATTAAAATGACAAATGCTTTGGTACACCTAAGGTACACACATTTTTGTGTGGACCTACTCGTACGAGTAGTAAGCCTTGTTTACTACTCGGTTAAGCATTTTTTAATTACAAAAAAAAAATAAAATAAAAAAATTATTTTTATGTAAAAACTGAAAAGATCTATAAAAATCGATATTTACTCTAGGCGCACCAACGAGTTCAAATAAATTTGAGGAAGATGAATGAAACAAAACCTCATCTTTGACAAAAAATTACCGGTCAAAGTTTCACCAGCCTCTACATTTTTGTATCCCCATTCGCAAGCCAAGTTTATACTTTCTGCACCATACCTGAACATTCATCATCATAAAATAGTGGATTAAACTTATCATGTTCAAAGATTACGCCCTTGTTTGGATGTTCGCTGTTGGCTGTTTGTATGAGCTGTTCTAAATAGTTGTTTAATTTAATCCCTTTATTACATATTAAGTGACTATTATATTTTTTAATTATGATATACTCCATTCCGTCTTTAAAATATTTTTTGTTTTGACTTTTTCAGGTCAAACAGTGACACAGTTTGATCATAAATTATGGAAAAAGTATATTTAATTATAATATAAATTTAATATAATTGACTTCATCTTAGGATATAATTCTGATATATCAACTTTTATATCATTTACTCCCTGCGTCCCTAAAAGATCTTATCTTTTCATTTTTTTGTTGTCCCCAAAAGATGTACCCTTATCTATTAAAAAACTACTTTTATCTCTTACTCTTTCATACCTTACCTATTACTACGTACATCATACCATTTTACTAATAATCTACACATCACATCTTACTTTTACCCATCACATCAAGGTTATTTTTGGAAAGTCGACACAAAATATCTCTCCTTTAAATTTTCAAAAAGTCAATAAGGGAAGATGTTTCAGGGACAGAGGGAGTATTTATTTAGATTATGTTTAATTTGTAGTCAAAGATTGTCAGTGTTTGACCGAAAAAATCAAAACATGAAATGATTTTAGGGCTAGAGGGAGTATTAAAAATAAACGAATGTAAATATACTTTATGGCTATATTTATGCATTTCTGAATGTGTCGTAATAAAAATCAAACTTGACAAATACTCGAACCCTTTAAATACTCCCTCAGTTTCAATTTGATTAATCTTCACAGTTACTATTATGGTATTTCGATAACTTATATTTGTATGCATGATTTCATTATCAATGATTTGATCATAAAATAAAATATGTTTGTTAAATCTTGTTTTGTAAATTTTTTTATGTAAACTTGAACAATGTATTTCGATAACTTATATTTGTATACTTTTTATCTCAATACCAATTTGTTAACAAATTTTTTTAAAAGAGATATAATTTTGCACAATATTTTAAATAAGAAGAATAAATTAGGACGGATGATATATATATATATATATATATATATATATATATATATATATATATATATATATATATATATATATATAAAGTAACTCACCTATTTACGCAAGAGGGTTGCTCATGATCATCACATTCCTTCCACGACTCAACATCTTCCGTCCATATCCCCTAATAATATCATTACTTTGCTAAGATTTACTATTAAAGTTCCTTAGATAGGAATTGGGCCCAAACCCAAATTTAAAGTTTTTATGTTTTTCAGACATGAAATTTGAGTCAAATTCAGATTTGAAATCCAAAATCAGGTTTCCAAACATACCATTAACCAATTTAGTTTAACTCAACTTTCAAAAAAAAAGATGGTTTAACTCATATATAAGCTTTAAGCTCCAAGCAAAAAATGCAAATGTGTACTTGTCTACACACTCTCTAATAAATTACTTTACCAACAAAGTTTACTTTTACAGAATGTAAGAAAATTGTCAAAATATATATTGTTTAGTGGATATAAATATTGTGGGTCTCACATTTGTTATACTAAAAGGGGGAAAAAATGTTATGAGCTATCTTTTTATTTTTCTTCTTAAATGGGACAAAAATAATTCAGAAAGGGTGACTCATTATTATAACATGACTTACATGGGTGAGATTTTGAAGAATGGCTTGTTGGAGAAGGTTGATATCGTTGTCGTAGTAGTCTTTTGCTGCTGTTAGAATAATTTCTCTGTCCCATACCTACACACACACATATATACAAACACTATTATATTATATCCCCAAGAGTAAATGAAAAATAATTCTATCCCTCTTTTTTGGGACAAAAAAAAAATAAAAACTTTAACTATTTTGCCGACTAAAACATTAAATCTATATTTAAACAAGACATTACACGTTGTCGTTTCGCAACTTTTTTAACGACATATATTTGATATTATAAGTTTGTTTTTCGGTATATATATATATGAAAAGCTGAAAGTCTATTTTGATATTCTTCTTGCAATTAATTCTACCCCTCTCTTTTGGGACAAAAAAAATTAAAATTTAAACTATTTCGATGACTAAAACATTAAATTTATATTAATATAAGACATTACATGTTTTCGTTTTGCAACTTTTTTAACGACATATATTTGATATTATAAGTTTGTTTTTCAGTATATATGAAAAACAGAAAATCTTATTTTGATATTATTCTCTCAAATAGTAATTAATTAGGGAGTAGTAATTAAATAATTACTTACGTGGTGCAAGTTAGATTTATGAGTGAACCAACGCAAATCTATGGTGTTTCCTCCTTCGTCACTTGTAAACCCAACGTGCATTGGCTGTAGTAAATATATATAGGTAGTATTCCATAATTAATTATTAAGAAGAAATTAAATAAAGTGCTTTTTTATTTTTTAAATGAAAAAATTACTCACCAATAATCACACCATATTATTTCAAAATGATATAATTACTACTTATGTCTCATATTTTTCTTTCCATTTAATTTTTTCACGATCTCCAATGTAATACTTTGACCATTAATATATCTATTTATATATAAATATAGAATATAAATAACCAATTAACCTGATGGATATCTCCCATAAAGTGTGCCAAAAATAAAAGAGCCTCCGTCATATTATCTGTTACAATATATTGTCGAACAAATTAAATTAATAGCGAATTTTCCTTAGAATAATAACAAAAATATACTCATCTGTCCCTAAATAAACTCTCCCTTTCGTTTTTTCTTTGTCCCCAAATAAACTTTTCTTTTCCCTTAAAAAGCCTCTTTTACCCCTTACTTTTTCATACCATACATATCACATCATATCTTTGTACTAATAAAGGGTATTTTTGGAAAGTTAACACAAAAATATCTCTCCCTTAAATCCTCACAAAGTCAAAAAGGGAAGTTTATTTAGGGACGGAAGGAGTATAATACTCTTCTCCCACGGCATCGATCGGACACTTTTTGAAGTCAAACTTAAATAAAGTCTGATAATCAATTAAATAAATATTACTCCGTATTTCGTGCGCTTTATATATTAATTAATAAAATGAAAAAAAAATATTTTTGAAAACATTACATACATGGAGGGTCGGAAGATGATGATGGGCTGTAATGAGAGAGCTGAGTCGTGAAGTTTCGGATGGCGCCAGCAACACACATATCCTTCACTCCTTGTTCATCATGGCAGTCCCCTTTCACACACATTAAATAAAAAAATAAATAAAAATTAAATGAAATGAATCGACGATTTATTTTATTATAATAATTATTATTATGGGTCATTTTACTATTTTATAATGCGGAAATGTTTTCAAAAAAAGAAGAATACGCTATAGCTAGTATATATATAAGTGTGAAATTCTATCTATCACCTTAAAGTTTTGGATTAGGGAGTGGATACCGAATTTATATGCAAATGATTAATTTTACCCAAAAATATGTCGATTATATTGTTCTTAGCCCACCGGAATTTTAACAAAAAATAATAGTTGTATAATTAGTAAATAAAATCGATCATTAATTATAGTGAAACTTGCACAAAGTAGCACCAAAAATTAACACTTTTCCCCAAATGACATCGAACTCATTTTTTTTCAAAAACTAACATTAAATGATAGAATTTGGGATGAGTATGGACAACTCGATTGGGTAATAAGATACTTGGGTTGAACCACATTAAAAGATTGAATCCAATCGATTAGTTAGTTTAACTCAAGAGCTTATATACCGGATTATTTTACTCTTGGACTTCCGATGTGGGATGCACTCTAACACTCTCCCTCAAGTGGACAACCGGGTCATTTTGAATATAACCGGTTGACCACTTGCAAATGAACTCTCATTCCCTTAATATTTTTTTGAGCGCCAACACCTAAAGGACCACGAGCCGCTGGGTATGGACTTCCAGACGAGCAATCGTGTTAAACGGGCCACATGCCGTTGGATACATACTCCATACGGACAACTGGGCTAAAGACTAACGGGCCGCTAGGAATGAACGTCTAGATGGACACCTTGACAAACGAGGTGGGCCAAAACCTGCTCTGATACCATGATAGAATTTAGGACGGGTATGGACAATTCAATTGGGTAATAAGACACTTGGGTTGAACCACATTAAAAGATTGAATCCAATCGATTAGTTAGTTTAACTCAAAAGCTTATATACCAGATTATTTTACTCTTGGACTTCCGATGTGGGATGTACTAACAGTAAATTAATTAAGTAATTAATTAATCATTAATAATATACATTTACTAAAAAACTCTGGTATCTTAATTATTTTGTACTCCATATAAAATATAGACTATATTTCTTTCTCTCTTTGCTTGATTCTCTCTTTTGATTCGTCGGCTTATATTTTCTTTTTGATGGACATTGTAAAAAATTATTGACATTGTTCACTGATCCGGGACATTGTAAAAATTATGGATATGAGACATTGTAAAATTGTGTACATTGTTTATTGATCGGGAACATTGATGACTAATGTAATGGACAATTATAATGGCTACAATGTCAATCGACAATGCTTTGGCAATGGATATGTAGACATTGACAACAATACTAGATATTATTTGACTGAATCCATATAAGTCATTAAATCATGCATAATAGACATTGACGGTGTGGCAGCGACGGCAGGCGAAGGGCAGAGGACGTGATAGGGCAGTAAATATAAAATTATATAGAGGGCATTTTAGTATACTACAATTAACAATTAAATATTAATTAATTAGATACTTGCTATGGAAATGAAAACTTATCGTGCTATATAACAAAATCTACTATGTTTCAGTGCTATTTAAGTAAATTTTTTATAATTATACCACGTACTCTGGTAATCAAAGTTGCAGGCTTGATCGGGAGTGTCGATGAAATGGAGGGGGCTACTCCAACGGTATTTATACCAGTGTCTCACTTGGTCCGGCCATACACACAACGCCGACAAGTCGCCGTCCACGTACTCTGGCAACAACCTTCTAACGCTCTCGGCCGCCTCCTCCTTTAGAAGACCCTTTTTTCCATATATTAACACAAACAAAATTAAATTAAATATATATACTCCTCTTGATGAATTGTTCTATACATTAAAAGTTTGATGGATTGTTAAATACTCCCTTCGTCCCTATTTTAAATTGTCTGTTTACTATTCACATGGTCAAATTTTAACCGCTTTCTTTAATCATTTTCGTTACTTATTTAATAAAATGAAATAGTCACGTCACCTCTAGTTTTGTACAGAGTAAAAAAATTGATGTAGTTTCATTCTCTAATTCCACACCGAATTACAAATAAAATGAATTGAAAATGATCTCAGTCAAATCTCATAAACAGCACAACCGATTTAAATTGAAATGGATGAAGTATGTACTATGTAAGACTTTGCATCAATTTTTGGAAAATGCTAGGGGTACACCAAAAGTGTACCCCAAACATCCCCCACCCCCTCCATCACCACACAAAAAAAGCAAAAAAATTCAAAAAAAAAGTAAAAACTAAAAGTAAAATAAAATGACTAGTAGAGAAGGAGGGTGATGTACATTTGGAGTACACATTTGGTGTACCTCTAGCATATCCCTCAATTTTTAGAGAGTCCCTTATATATAGGAACTATAAATTTTTTCGACATGACATGACCCCAATTTGGACGAATGTCATAATAATACTCCGTAATAATAATAGTAGTAGTAGTAGTAATAATAATAATAATAATAATAATAATAATAATAATAATAATCATAATAATAATAATCATAATCATATATACGACATTTAAAGTCAGTATCAAAATTCAAAACAATCTGGGTCGTAATTTTTGATACTCCCTCCGTCCTAAAATTAACTTCTCATTTGACTTTTCAAGGTCTCCAATGCGACACTTTGACCATCAATTCAATATCTCAATTTTTATATAAATAAATTTTATAAAAATTATATATTTTGAAACTGTGTTTCAAAATGAATCTATTGCTAATAAATTTATATGAAAATTCAATGTATTTTTTTCGTAATATACGGTCAAGATTTAAAATGTTTGACTACAAAATTCAAACTGGGGAGTTAATTTTAGAACGGATGGAGTACAAAATTTAAGAGGTACGAAACTGTACATGGGGCCGGTTCCTATGACACTGGTAATCAATGTCATGAGATAACCCGCGATGTTCCAGTAGCCCGTTTGTAAAATTAACGGTTCATACCACCTAACCTCCCTGGTAAATTCCCGCACCCCGCCCCAACCCGAACACACCCCTCCACCCCCTTTACTTGCACCCCCAAGAAACTCAACGTCAAAATACATTCTCCTTAAATTTTTTAAAAAATTAAAATCTCCAATGTTTTCCGAAACGGGCAGAAAACTATATTAGGGCAACAAATTAAAAACCTGTGCAATGGTACAAGTGAAGATATGCCCCTCCTTGCTCCATGCATCAACAAGGCCCCCAATCACACCGAAAATTACAAAGCCGACGCACCATGTAATTAGCCAACCCAGTGACCAAGAACAACTACCCTTGGACATTTTTTTTCTTCTTCTTTTTTTCTTTTCTTTTAGCTTTGATATGATATAGTACTATATATTATGAATTAATTATTCAAATATTTGGGAAATAATTAATAATTTTCCTGTACAGTAACTGCTGCCAGACTATATATCTATATACTGTGTATATATATATATATTTGATTGGGATCTTATATATAATCTTGAGACATTATTATTCACCAATATATACTCCGTATATATATAGAAAAAAGATTTTTTTGTTTCCCCTTGTAAAGAATAATTAATTAATACGGAGTAGTAAGAATAACGTAACAGTAAACGATTCTCATTGTGTGCAAGTTATGTATGGTAGTGGGCCTGCCTTTCTTCCATCCTCGTACGTGCTTATCAAACTAATTAAGTTATACACTCTCTCCTGAATATTTGTCAATTTTTGATTTTTTTCAGTCAAAACTAATAAATTTTGATTTAAAATTAAATAAAAATGATACGGAGTATTAGATATTGAAAAGAAAATAGTTTTCTTATATTTATTTTATCAAATATTTCAAAATATTATTTTGAAAATAATATTTTTATTATTTGTCAAAAATTGATAAAGCTGACCAATAGAACTTATTACATATTTTGAATTATGCAAGAATTATATATATATATATATATATATATATATATATATATATATATATATATATATATATATATATATATATATATATATATATATATATGATGGCTATAAACCACCGAGAATGAAGAATAGTATAAGTTTTAGAGAGAGAGAATGCAAAGTAGGAGTTTATTCGTTCTAAACTTCGGTCCGTTACAATGAGGGGTCTCGCCCCTTTTATAGGAGATACATTACATATGGTCAAAGTCCTCTGATCGAGGCTCGTCGCCTAGCGGACGTCATCTCTGTCATGAGTTGTCCTTTTCATCCTATCGCTCTCGCACAGTCAACGCGGCCAATCGCTATCCGCCGGTCGCCATCACGTAGGTCGTTGTCACGGAGGTCGCCGTCCCGTAGGTCGCTGTCCCGCTTCTAGCCGAGCCCATGAGGCATGCCGAGCTCACAGGGCGAGCCGAGCTCATGGGTCGAACAGGGAGCTTCCACGTGGCTGCTAGGGTCCGGCTGACGTGTCCTTCGGAGCTATCCTCCATCACAAGCCCCCCACTCTCCGGGTTTCGTTGCAATTGGCGATGAGACACGAGAGAGTGTAGGTACTGTAGGAAAGCGGCGCGCGGGCCCACGTGGAAGAGGTTGGCAGGCCACTGGTGCCGTTTGGGCTTCCGCCATCGTGAAGGGGCGCGCCTTTTCACCTCCCTAGGCCAAGTGGCGGCCCATCGTTGCACCCATTCAACCCTTCCTCTATAAATATCACCCCCACCTCTTTCATTCCCCACTTTAGAGAGAGAAAGGGATTTCGTTTGCCGTCGCTAGCCTTCTCACCGTCGTTCTCGTCCACCTCCCGGCTCCGTACTAGGTTAGTCTTCCTCGTCCTTGTTCTTCCATGTCTTCCCAATCCTCCATCTTTCGCCAGTCCGAGTCCGAGCGCGCTGCTGAGGGCTCTGTCGCCGGCCCCGCGCAGGAGAGCGACTCCCGCTCGCCCTCCGTCGAGGAGATAGCCGAGGCGGTCGAGGTCCCTCTTCAGTCCGAGCCTCGTAACCAGAGGCGGACCACTCTCGAGGACTCGGGGATCCGAGCGCAAAGGTGCACCCTTACTCGGGAGGAGTACCGCAAGGCGAAGCGCCTAGCCTCGGCGCCGGGCGTTACCGTGCGCCGTCCCACTTCCGAACAGTCAGTCTTTGATGCTCCTCCGGGTTGCTTTGCCATCCACCTCAAGTCCCTTGAGTACGGGTTCCGCTTCCCCCTCCATCATTTAGTCATAGATTTTTTCCTCCACTTTGATTTTCTCCCTTGCCAAGTCATGCCCAAATCCCACCGCTATTTGGCGGGATTTCTCATTCGTTGCCAAGGGACCGGGGTTCGCCCCGACCTGGCCCGTTTCTTGCTTCTCTTCCGGTTGGCGAAGTCGTCTGGCCGGGCGAACTCCGACTCAGGCTCGTATGCCTCAATATTCCAAAGACAGGAGAAGCTCTTCAAGACGAGAAAGGACTCCGCCAAGAGTTGGAAGGGGAAATTCGTCTTCGTTTCTCTTTCCTCGGGCTCCCCTTTTCGTAAAGAACCCCTCAGCTCCTTTCGCCGTCGCTCCGCGTGCGTCACCTCGGACAAGATGCTCGAGGACGTAGAGACGCTCTGCCGAGGGGGGCCCTTCGAAGTCGGTTCGATAGTAACGAGCGATGCTTTAGCGGCACTCGGCTTCGTCTTCCTATCCCCGGATGATACTCAGCGGAGCATCGAAGAAGGCCCCTCAGGTCAGTGCAATCTCTCCTCCTCGGCCATCCGTGGGTCGCGACTACCTCGGATTCCCCCGCGTCGTTCTTTTGCGGCTAAGTCCTCGCCTCATCGCTTGTCTTTTTTTGGTTTGTGCAGGTGAAATCATGCTCTCCAGCGCCGAGCGACTGAAGCTCATGTTCCTGGATGCCCCTAGCGGCAACTCCCGGGCTCCTACCGTGGCTGGTCGTCCTCTGACTCACCCCGTGAAGCCAACCCCCGAGGCAGCCCAGAAGAAGAAGAGAAAGGAGACGGCCTCGGCCAATGATACTCCCCAGGGGTCCGAATCCCCGATGATGAAGGATTTCGGCCACCTGAAATATGTCAAGGCGGCCTTCCCTGCAGGGGTCTCCTCTCACCGATCGCGCCAAAATCCAGGACGTCGACCGGGAAACTCTGGCCTCGGATATGTTTCACGAGATGGGCTCGGTAAGTTTCCGATCGGTATGAAATATTTACGTTGAGAAGATGCCGCGAGTGGGGAATAGATAGACGTCCGCTACTACGCGTACCAGCTGTACTCGGTCGCCGACGCGTGATCGCTCCGGCTGGCCTCGTCCCGAATACAACTTTATGCTGACCTCAACGAGGCGCTAAAGGCGGCCAAGGAGCAAGCTCGCCAGGCCGAGGAGCGGGCCTAGCAGCTCGCGGAGGAGGCTGCTCGCAAGGCGCGCCAGGAGGCTCGCGATCAGGCCGTCGCCGAGTTCCTAGCATCGGATGCGTTTCAGGAGGAAACCTTCGCTCGCATGAACGATCTGCTCAAGGCATGGGGGCAGACTCCTGAGGGGAAGGCATTCGCTCGCTCCGAAGGGACGTCGTGGTACAACCTCGGTTTGTTCCGAGCGCAGCAGGTCCTCACGGACAGGTTCCTCGCCGGGGAAGACTTCCCCGAACCATGCGACGATCCTGATGAGCTCGACACCTCCATCTACTACACGAATGGCGGGAACCCAGCCGGCGAGCAGCCGAATGCCGAGTGATATGACTTGGAGCTTTGTTGTATTTGATGTAATGGTGCTCAAAACTTCGTTGTGTTTTTCTTTTTTTTGAATTCGGATATGCTATGACTTGATGCTTTGTATGGATGTGCTATGACCTTCTCCTTTGCCTTTAATTCTATGCCTTCGTCGTTTCTTTTAAATGGTGTGCTCGCCCATTCCCGTCCGACCTGAGCTCGGCCACGCCGAAGAGAGGTCACCTTGGGACTTGGTCCCTTTTCTGTCCCCTCGTTATCCGAGACAACCTTGGGTCTTGGGACCTTTTGACCTGCCGTCAGTTTGACCGTCCCCACGCTGCCACGTGTATCGTCCCCCCTAGGCAAGATGCCTATATAAGGGGGGGTCCCCATAATTTGTTTGCACTCACCCTTGGATTTCTGCAAATCTTACCATGCCGCGCTCGGCACCCACTCCTCCCGACTCCAGTGAGATGCGAGGAGAGACGCTCTCTTTCGGCAGCTACTCCCTCGGGGGCTCTTCTGCTGTTCCGACCAAGTCGGGGCCGAGCTCGACACCGCCGCGCTCTCTGCGGGACTCTTGGGATTCGGACTCTGAATCCGAGTCGGTACCCCACGATCCTTCTACCAAGATCCCGGGGTTCATCTACTATTCGTCGGAGGAGGACGAGAAGACCCCATCTCCGCCAGTTCCGCCGATCCGTCGTGAGGTCGTCGCCCCTCCCGTTCCTGCCGGCCGCGGTGGGCGAAGCCGCCGCCCTCCAGCTCTTCCCGCAGCGGTTCCGAGCGAGAGCTCTGTGGCATCCCACCATCCGAGCCGGTGCTTCCTCGAAGACCCAGGCTCGCCCAGCTATGACGAGTCCACCGGGCACTCCGTCACCAGTCAGGCTCCTTCACCTTCTTACCCCCCACCCTATACTTGCAAGCGGGGGTGGAATTGTGGCACGCACTGAAGTCTACTCGTACTTTTAATGGCAAGGTGTTTAATTGTTGTAAGGCGCTTGTGCCATGTACTTGCCCGTTTTCCGGGATGAATAAAATTTGGATTTGATTAAGTCTTTTTCGCTTTTCGCCATTAGAAAGGACTGCACTCGGCTCTTCCCCTGAGGGGGGGAAGTGTCGAGCACGAGGGTTAGACCTCCGTCCGGGAAGAGCATCCGGACATGGTCTGCGTTCGGCTCTTCCCTTGAGGGGTAGCGCCGAACACACGGGTTAGGCCTTTGTCCGGGAAGAGCATCCGGACATGACCTGTGCTCGGCTCTTCTCCTGAGTGGAAATGCCGAGCACGAAGGTTAGACCTTCGTCCGGGAAGAGCATCCGGACATGGTCTGCGTTCGGCTCTTCCCTTGAGGGGTAGCGCCGAACACACAGGTTAGGCCTTTATCCGGGAAGAGCATCCGGACATGACCTGTGCTCGACTCTTCTGGGAGTGCCGAACACGAAGGTTAGACCTTCCTTCGGGAAGAGCGTCCGGACATAGTCTGCGTTCGGCTCTTCCCTTGAGGGGTAGCGCCGAACACACGGGTTAGGCCTTTGTCCGGGAAGAGCATCCGGACATGACCTGTGCTCGGCTCTTCTCCTGAGTGGGAATGCCGAGCACGAAGGTTAGCCCTTCGTCCGGGAAGAGCATCCGGACATGGTCTGCGTTCGGCCCTTCCCTTGAGGGGTAGCGCCGAACACACAGGTTAGGCCTTTATCCGGGAAGAGCATCCAGACACGGCTTGTGCTCGGCTCTTCTCCTGAGGGGGAGTGCCGAGCAAGAAGGTTAGACTTTCGTCCGGAAAGAGCATCCGGACACGCATGTTAGACCATTGCAAAAAGTCCCACTTCATTGAATTCAATCATGGTGTTGCGGGTTCCCTTTCTCGGGCCCGTGTACATTCGAAATTCATTGATAAAACTTAACCAAGTTCTCAGCATTCCAAGTCCTTGGCACATCCCCTCCGCTCGGCGTCTGCAGGCGGAATGTTGAGGGGCCTACCACTTCTTTGATGATGTAGGGGCCTTCGTAATTCTTGGCAAATTTCCCACCTTCCAGGGGGCGGCTCACGGACCTCTTGCGCAGCACCCACTCTCCTTCGATGAACCCCCGTGCGCGCGCACGCCCGTCATGGTAGCTCTTTACCTTCCTTCGGTAATTCTCCGCTCGTATGAAGGCCGCTTCTCGTCTCTCGTGCACGAGATGGAGCTCGGCTGCCAGGGCTTCGTCGTTACGCTCGGGGTCGAAGATCTCCTCCCTGTGAGTCGCGATGGAGATCTCTGCAGGGGCCCTCGCCTCGAACCCGTAGCATAAGGCGAAGGGGGTTTCTCCGGTCGCCCTTCTAGGCGTGGTCCGGTAGGTCCATAGGATGTACGGCAACTCCTCTGCCCACTCCCCTCCGCAGGCCTCCAACTTCCGTTTCAGCCCGTCGACTATCGTTCGGCTGGCATTCTCGACCTGGCCGTTCGTTTGTGGGTACCCGACCGACGCATAGCTGTGCTTGATTCCCCAGCTCCCAAGGAAGTCGTTAAAGGGCTTGGACTCGAATTGTGTTCCATTGTCTGTGATTACGTGCTCGGGAACGCCGAAGCGGCAGATGACTTGCTTTGCGAGAAACTTCTGGCATTGAGCTCCGGTGATGCTTGCCAATGGGGCCGCTTCCACCCACTTGGTGAAGTAGTCAATGGCTACAATGACGTAGCGCACGTTCCCGGTACCTCTAGGAAGCGCACCCACGAGGTCCACCCCCCACNTTGATTCCCCAGCTCCCAAGGAAGTCGTTAAAGGGCTTGGACTCGAATTGTGTTCCATTGTCTGTGATTACGTGCTCGGGAACGCCGAAGCGGCAGATGACTTGCTTTGCGAGAAACTTCTGGCATTGAGCTCCGGTGATGCTTGCCAATGGGGCCGCTTCCACCCACTTGGTGAAGTAGTCAATGGCTACAATGACGTAGCGCACGTTCCCGGTACCTCTAGGAAGCGCACCCACGAGGTCCACCCCCCACCGCGCGAACGGGATAGCTGTGCTGATGGGGGTATAGTTTGTCGAAGGCCTCCCTGGTACCTTCTAGAACTCTTGACACACCTTGCACCTTCTCACAAACTCCGCACAGTCCTTAACAATTGTTGGCCAAAAATATCCTTGGAGGGTTATCTTTCTTGACACCGTGTAGGCTCCTTGGTGGGCGGAGCAGATCCCCGCGTGCACCTCCTCCACGACTTGCTCCGCTTCAGCTGGTCGGAGGCACCTGAGCAGCGTACCGTTGTATGCTCGCTTGTATAGCTTTTCGCCCTCCAAAGTGTACCCAGGTGCCCTAGTCCGGACCAACTTGGCCTTTATTGCATCGTCCGGGAGGGCGCCATCCTTCAAGAAGGCAACTATGTCGTCCATCCAATCTCTTAGCCGAGCACAGATCATCGCCACGGGGAAGGCATGGATGCTCGGCTCGGACAACTCCTCCACGTTCGCCATCCGCCTGATGTGCTCGGGCGTGTCTGAGCTCAGCTTCGACAAGATATCCGCCTCGGCATTCTCCGCCCGAGGAATCTGCTCCACACTATACGCGGTGAAACTCTTAAGTAACTCTAGAGCGGTGTCTCTGTACTTCTTCATTCTTTCGTCCTTCGCCTCGAATTCTCCCGAGACGTGGCCAACCGACCCTTAGCTTTGTTGCGTTCATCCCGGCTGCTAGGCGTAGCCCGCACAAGAGCGCTTCATATTCCGCTTCATTATTTGATGCCTTGAAACCGAATCGAATAGAGTAATATGCTCTGAAGCCTTCGGGCGCGATGACTACCACTCCACCCCCCGAGTTTTTGGCGGCGGAGGATCCGTCGGTAAAAACTATCCACCAGTTGTCGGTTTCTGGCTCCTCGGGGCTCGGCTCCTCCCGAGCGGTGCACTCCACCACGAAGTCAGCTAGCGCTTGGCCCTTGATCGCTGGCCTTGGCTTGAATTCGATCTGGAAAGCTCCAAGGAACACCGCCCATTTGGACATGCGCGAGGGCGCGTTCGGGCTCCTGAGTAGCGCACCTATGGGTTGTTGGGAGAGCACTTGAACCGGGTGAGCTTGGAAGTAGGGTGTTAGCCGCTGCACAGTTGAAACCACTGCTAGGACCGTCTTTTCGGCTACTGAGTACCTGAGCTCGGCACCTCTCAGCGTCTTCGCCGTGTAATATACCGGGTGCTGAGCTCCACCTTCTTCTCGGACTAGGACTGAGCTTAGTGCATTGGGCGACACTCCCAAGTAAAGATATAAGGTTTCCCCGGGCTCGGGTTTAGCGAGGATCGGCGGAGAGAGGAGATAAGATTTCAGAGACTCAAAGGATTGCTGGCAGTCTTCCATCCATACGAACCCTCGGGACTTCTTCACAGCTTGGAAGAATGGAGCGGCTCGATCCGCTACCTTGGAAAGGAAGCGGCTGAGCGCAGCCAACTTTCCGGTCAAGCGCTGCACCTCCTTGACATTTCGTGGAGCTTCCATGTCAAGGATGGCGCGCACCTTCTCGGGTTTGGGCTCAATACCGCGCCTGCTCACCATGTGTCCCAAGAACTTACCGCCTTGAACTCCGAACGTGCACTTCTTCGGGTTCAGCCGAAGGTTATACTTCTCCATAATCTTAAAAACTCCTTCTAAGTCTTCCGCATGGGTGGTTGCCTGCTTGCTTTTCACAATCATGTCGTCGACGTACGCTTCCATGCTCTTCCCGAGGACGGGCGCGAAGAGCTTGCTCACCATCCTAGCGTAGGTTGCCCCGGCGTTCTTGAGTCCAAAAGGCATCACCTTGTAGCAATAAACTCCGCCGGGGGTAGTGAAAGACGTCTTCTCTTCGTCTTCAGGATGCATTCGGATTTGGTGGTACCCACTGAAGGCGTCCATGAAACTCATGAGCTCGCAACCCGCCGTCTCGTCCACCAGCTGGTCGATGTTCGGGAGTGGGAATGGATCCATGGGGCATGCCTTATTTAGGTCGGTGTAGTCCACACACATCCTCCATGTATTTCCCTTCGGGGCCAACACCACGTTCGCCATCCATTCCGGGTACTTAACTTCTCTGATATGCCCAATGCTTTGGAGGGTGGTCACTTCCTTGGAGACGAACTCCCTCCGCTCGGATGAGAGGAAACGCTTCTTCTGCTTTACCGGCCTAGATTCCGGGTTGACCGCCAACCGGTGACATATGATCTTGGGGTCCACCCCCGGCATATCCCCAGGTCCCCATGCGAAGATCACGCGGTAGGCGGCGAGCACTTCCACCAAGCGCATCCGCTGGCTCGTCGTCAGGGTCGCCCCGACCTTAACCTTCCGCTCGGGCACTTGTGGGTCGAGCGGCACTTCCTCGACTTCCTCGGCGGGCTCGGCCGAAGGTCGAGCTTCCAGCTTGCGCATTCCCTCTTGCGCGTGTATGACCATTGTCCCATCCCTCGGCAACTTCTTCGTGATTCTTACGTAGCACGATCAGGCCAACTTTTGGTCTCCCCTTGCCACCCCGATGCCGGACGGAGTGGGGAACTTCATGCACAAGTAGTACGGGGAGATCACACATTCCAAGTCCTCAAGGCCAGGCCGCCCCAGGATCATGTTGTGCGCACAATTGATGCTCACAACCATAAACTCCATCTTCAGCTTCGCCTTGTGCGCACCATCCCCTACTATCACGGATACAGCGATAACTCCCTCGGCCTCGATGGAGTCCCCCGTGAATCCGGAGAGAGGAGTGCGCACAGGCCTCAAGTCCTTGCGGTTCAAGCCGAGGTCTTGGAATGTTTTCTCGTACATTATATTGACTGAGCTTCCCGTGTCCACCAAGGTGCGGTGTACTATGGCGTCGTTGATCTCTATCTTTACGACCAAGGCATCCCGGTGGGGACTCGGCGCGTTCGGAAGATCCTTCTCCGTGAACTGGATTTGCTCTCGTCTTCCGAGCTTGGGCACCGGCGCCTGATGGACCTTGGCGACAAAGGCCATGTGCTTCCACCTCTTCCTTTGAGAGGCGGAGTCCCCGCCGATGTTTCCTCCATGGATGAATCCCACCGGATATCCTTGGGCTTCGTCCTCGTCTAGATCATCATACTCTCGCCCAATGTGCCTCTTCTCGGGGTTCCTTGCTTGCGTGGCCACCGCGACCGGTTCGGCCGGCTTTCTCCAAGTTCTTTCTTCCGGCGGCCCCCGAGATGGGGCTGCTCCATCATCACGGGGAGGCGGCCCTCGGGCGATGAGTCTCTGCATCTCCTTCTGGAGAGTGAAGCATTCCTTAGTGTTGTGAGTGTTGTTACGATGGTACTCGCAATACTTAGTTCCGCTGGACACCGCGTAAGCCTCTACGTGGGAGAGCGGGGAAAGGGCAAGCTCTCGACCCGCCCCCACGGGAGCGCCCACAGAGTATACTCTGGCCGAGGGCGTCCTCGGGCCCGCGGTATAGTCTTTCTTCTTCTTCCTCTTCTTCGCGGCCTCTCCCGAATCTACTGAAGTTCGCTTAGCCGGCGCGGCCTCGGATTCCATGGCGTCATCAAACTCCTCCGAGGCTAAGAACTTTGCGCGCGCCATGGTCTCTTGGTACGTGGGGGGAGGATTCTTGCGGAGCTCCTTCCTCACCTCTCCGCGGGGGAGGGCTGCTTGGAACATGGCAACCAACGCTTGGTCATCCGCCCCATGCACGTCTCTGGCTTCCTTCTCCCACCGGACTATGAAGTCGCGGACCTTCTCTCCCTTGCGGATGCATATGTTGAGCAGGTGGGAGTAAGGGAGCCTCTGCCTTCGGTTTGCCGCGAAATGCGTCAAGAACTTCTTCGCCAGCGTATCCCAATCGTCAATGGTTCCCTTTGGGAGCCGGTTGAACCAATCGCACGCGGACCCCTCTAGCGTCGCGAGGAAGCACCTGCAATTGACCTCGTCCGGGGCTGCCGCCGCCTCCAT